TGCCGAGTAATATTAATTTCCGAAACTCATAAAGCAATGTGTTACGTAGGTGTATGCATTTTATTATTTGACGTTTTTAAATGTTTTTATAATAATAAAAAAACCGGTATGTTTAAAATACAGTTATAGAAGAAGTACAGGGTGTCCTACACACTTTTTCAATCTTTAAATTTTAATAACTTTTTAATGAAAGAGGCAATATTACAATTTCTAATAATTAATATCAGCAAACCGGATTTTATGATGAAATATTTTCAAAATGTCTACCGTTAGCAATCACGAGGCCAATTTTTACTTTAAACGAGTCTAGAGCACGAAGAATGATTTCTTTCATTTAATTGATGATATTTCTGTTTGGATGGCCGATTTTAATAGCTCCAAAGGCTCCGTTTTTGTGCGACAGATGCGATCTTTCAAATAACCCCACAGCCAAAAGTCACACGGTTTGACATCTAGACTGTAGGGTGGCCAATCGATGCCTGATCCGTAAAATTTTCTATACTGAAATTGGGCTCACAAGTATACCGGGATTGAGTAGTAAAAAATAAGAAAATAGCGTCTCTCTAACTGCGCAGAGTACTAATTACTAAGTAATTGAGTTTAAAGTTTGGAAAAGTGTTTAGGACACCCTGTATATACGTAACAGAACACTAGATGATTAGTAATGATAATTATTACTGAATTCAGTAATTAGATGTTACAGTAACGCCTCGTAGAAAACGCAAAAATTTTCCGTTCGACCTAATAAATACGTGCCCTGATTTGATTAAATACTGAAGAAATTACTGAGTATTATGTACAAACAGTGTAATCTGTTTAACAGGATCAGTTAAACTGACTACAACTTATCTAGCTTAATTATTGGGGTACCAAAATGATTGTGACTCGACAACAAGATCGAATACAGTACATGTTCATGAAAACTTTTTTCATTGTTCTTGTGTCCTTCGTTCACAGTTGAAATCTGTCCAACATGTTATGAAACACCTTATATAATTTACAACGGTGATCCGTTCTATAAAAGGAAGCTATTCCTTGTCTAAACGGGGTAAAAATCTGTGGCAGAATCGAGGCCTGTTCATGAATTTGTAAATTAATAGTGTAACACGTGGCGCCGTGGCGCTTGGTCATCATGTCAAACATTGAAAAAATCATCTAGTTACTTATCTGGCGTGGGTGTCACGGCTATTGAAACCGCATCCAGACACGTGTACAGAACACGGCATGAAACTCTTGTACGACTTATGTTAACTACCTATCTTACGTAATGCCAGTCGTATTTTACATGTACCGTATATCTACCTCCCCCCCCCCCGGGTAATTGTCGATAGATCAACACGTGATTCAGATGATCGTTTTGTTGCGAGTAGTGTGACTTGCCTACGATTTCTGAGCGAAATCTATACCGTACGAAGTATGTAATGTTAAAATATAGCAATACACTAAATTCTCGATGAGTGTCTGAAAGCACTTCAACACTGAACATGAAATATTTCATAAAGTAATGGCCATATGCGGCTGAAACAAGTATGATTGGCTTGAGACTTCCATGTTCTATCACTGCGTTAAACCTCTGTGTTAGACCTTATTAAAAAGTCACCCTTACATCTAGGAACATCTCCTTACTAGTGCCATGGAACCTTCTAACACTCATCGAGGATTTAGCGTATTCAGAATAATAAGTTGACTGCTATGGAGGACGATCCTGTTGCATGAACCAGTCGAACAAAACGAAATAAATGGTGTAGACTTGACAAATTAAAGTCTTTTGCACACAGTGTCTATACCTAGTTCTGTTTTTATAAGAAACTTTCTAGAAATTATTTGGCGTTTTAATGGGCACAGCAGCTGTAATATATGATGCATTAATTATGTATCGTATTTGGCAAACAATCATGCTGTTCCATTGGATTTGTCAAAAAGTTTTCTTGTAGTTTTTAAGGTCATTTAGAAAGTTTTGAGACGCAACTAACTGTAGTTTAAATTTTGAAAGCACATAGTTATTTGATAGCTAACATTGAACCGTACATTTTAACCAGAAAATTTGAAGATAGGGTTTGTTTTATAATTTTCGTATAATTTTAAAGATCCAAGTCCAAGAAGAGCATTTTCGGCATATTTTACTGTTCTATTTCAAAAAAGTTAAACCTGTAAGGAGTTGTGCAAGACCACCAGAAGTGGTTTGGGAAATTTTGTTCCAGGATGCATCACGCTCTGGCCGGCCACAGAAGATTCACAACGACTAAGTGAAGTGTTTAATCGACAATAATCCTCGCTACAGAACGTGGAAAATTGTACAAAATTTCTAACTAGCAGAATCAAACATGGAAAACCTTTTGCATCAACCTGGCTGTGTCAGCCGTCTTGAAAACCGTACTAACTTTTTGGTCAGTCGAATATTTTGCTGCATCGATACGGTTTTCTTTTTTGTAAATTTTGCATTTATTTTAGCAAATGAAGAAATTATCCTTGTTAAATGCCAGTTAATTATGGTGAGTTTTAGAGCGCGGTTAAACTTGTAGCTGTACAAGTCACTGTAACAAGATATAGCAAACAGAGATCGAGTTGCGCGATATTCACTACCATGTTGACAATACGCGGACTCAGGTTCCTTAAATGCATTCGAATCGTGTTCCTTGTGGATTCGAGGCAAGTCCACTACAATGTACGCTTCACGCGACACGGCACGTGGGTGTTGACGCTTCAGAAACGACGTCTTTATTCTCTGAGACATTGAACATAAGTTTCTGTGTGTTCTCTGTCTTGTATGGCGAGACAATGCTCATATATTCCACAAATACGATGAAATAGCCTGAAGATATCGGGAAGGATACGCGAAATTATCCGAAAGGGAACCGAAATTTTGGTGTACCAAATCATCGTATGGAACGATTTTGTTTTAATTATTAAGTTGAACTTTTGTTATTGGAACTAATCAAGTAAAACGATTTTGATAAATAATAGACTAAACTGGAAAAGATTAACTTGAAAAGATTAACATCGTTCATTTGGAATAGGTCCAGAATTATTTAATATTAAATTTTTTAAATTATATTGTGTTTCTTCTGATTTGCATCAGGAACATCTCACGAACGTAGTAGAAATATTTCCATAAGTATGAAACCATTGTATTCTTATACAAAAATACATTATTCATTGGTGGATAATGTTTTCAACGTATTTAAGAAAACGGTATGTGGAATGACTTAATGGTACTGAGTTAAGAGTGTCCTATATCTTGTATTTTGCTATCGTTTGTTCGAAATATTTTATATACATATTTTTTATATCAGACTACGTGATGAGCTGGACTTGTATTTTATATCTTTCATTTAGAACAGTTTCATAATTATTGGTGTTGGTAAACGTATGGTATCATAGGTGACAGGAAATAGAAAACTTTCGTATACACAGTTTGATTGCCATATTTACCACTCGTATTGTATAATTTAATAATTCTTTACACTTTTTTGAACTTGTCGAATTCCATAATCACTCCCTCCATTATCTTTTCGATTATTCAAAGTGAAGACCTATTGGTAAAATTAGAAATAGTGCCGCGTGACTATACAGGGAGTTATTCTACATGAAGAAATAAGTCGATAAAGAAAGAATCAAATTTTTTCACCTGTGACTTGGTTTTTCAATAGACTTTATTTTTCAGAGTTGGTCAAGTACATAGGCGATTCAATACGACTTCATTGTCGACTTATCGTGCATTCCGTTCTCTTAACAAGAATGTAAAGGGGGTTGTCGAAAACGTTGCACATTTGGAGCAAAAGATTCTCGAAGAGTTTGAAAAATTGAAAAGCGATAACACGACTATTCGTTCAGTTATTATCTTTCATTTATTGAGCAGAGTATGCATAAATTTAGTGGGCGGCGGCGGAGAGTTAATCTGCAAAAACACTGTATTATTTCAGTCATATTATTGTCACTAGGATTATAAACACTAGCTCGGACAGTCATTAACCAAAATTGATCGGTTTTAAGGGAACAGCGTTCAACGATAACAAACATTTCGAAAATACATTTCTTTCATAGTGCACGTATGGTCACCTGAAATTTTTTTTTTTGTAAATGCAACCACATAATATTTTTCCATTACTTGTATTGTAGGGTACATTAGGACGAATTCAACTAGAATAAAATATGACACTTTAATAGTAAATTTACAGCAATTGAAATGTAAAGAGTGCCTCATTTAGTTCTACAGCTTTCATTCTTGTAAATCTAGTACTGTGTGACTAAAAATGTCATACTTTTTACTGGTTGAATTCGTCTTAATGTCATCTACAATATA